AGAGGTACCAAGTCAATGAGGATAATAGTTTTATCCAGTTGCTCACTAGCAGCATTTGCTCCCATGATCCGAACTTGACTTTGTTTCATAAAAACTCCTGCAGCAATTTCTTCAGCGAGCTCAGAAACCAATGGGAAGAAGGTATACAGTGCCACACTCAGGCGCAGCCCAACCTGCATGGGCCAGACACAGCCACATGGTGACCCAGGAGGAGTATTTGTGTATGGCTCCGTGCAAATTGTTGTAGAACAATCTACAGATACAATTAACCTATTTGTTATATTCTAGTTAGGAAAATGAAACCACAAGGATGAGGAAAGCAAAAAAGTACCAGAAAGCTTAAACCTGAAATGAACATATGATGTACCTTCATTAGGAGGTGGAGGAGGCAATGTTCGAATTGGTGGCAAGGCCGGTGCCTTTGGTCTCCTTGATGGAGACCCAGAGGGAGAAACTGTAGGGGAAATTAGGGGCACTGCAGTGTGTACAGAGTAAACCATTCAATAAATACAAGGCGAAATATTGCCATAGTATTTGATAGAAAATGGAGTAAAATGAAGTTATCTTAACTATGGGTCTGGCCAGATGCAGCTGTTGGAGCTGGTGAAGAAGCAGATGAAGCATTGGTTACTGATGAAGGAACTGGCAAGTTCAGAGGAGAAAGGGAAACTGAAGAACCTGCACAATAAGAACAATGGTTTGAAGTCGCAATTAACATAAACTTATTGCTCAGACTTCAGACACTGAGAAAATGATAACTATGTATTTACTATCATGCTACCACGAATAATGGGTGAAGAGCATAGCGTTCTCTCCTGACCATAGGAAGATGTGATGGAGGATGATTGGCCCTATAAAGAATGTCGAAAGGAAATATCAATCAGCAATCCTATAGGGTTAGGCATTTATCAGCTATGTGTATCAAACCTTGAAGTCCTGAAGGGGAAGGAGATATTAGATATGATGCTGGAGCAGGACTTGTGATTATGTTCCTTGCTAGCGGATGCTTATGAAATGAGCTGTAAGGAGACAATGCAGGAGAATGATCTCCTCCATTAGGAGGTGATTCAGGAGCTGAAAGAGATGGAACAGGAGCATCATTGGAATGACTCTTGATTTTGTGAGAAGGAGCTATGGCAGAAGAACCTGCAACAAAGTACACTGGAGTTTCATCGCCTTGATAATGATACTTATTATAAGTAGTTTCTCCAAGAAATTCAGATTATAATATGTACCTTGTTTTGGAGAATGTGTTACAGGTGGCAAAGGCATTGGTGTTTCATTTGATGGTACAGCAGCTGGTATTCTGTCTCTTTTCCGGTTGATGCCTGGGGGTGAATTTGTTATAGGAGAGAGAGGGCAACCTGCAAACTTATATGGAATCAATCAAAGATCACATTTGATGAGCAGAATCAATTTAGGATTATACTTTTCTATCAGAACTCATAATGTACCGGACAATAGATCTAAAGTGATCAGAAAAGTGTACAGACTGAAAGACAAAAGTTAAATAGTCCTATGGCAGTCTAAATCAATGACAAAGTATAAAGAAAGAAATGAGGGAGCAAAGAAGGAATGGACAAGGGAGGTTTCAAGACATTGGAGATGAATTCTTCTTTAGCAAAAGAGTCTGCTGACTCCAAAAAGCAAGATAGCTATAACTGGATGAGCAGTGAAAAATAAAAAGTAAAGTTGCATCATAATCAAATTATTTTCAATGCACAATTGATATCTTGTTTTAGGATTATACGGTACAAATTCAGATCTAATTTTGTTAAAAGCATAATCCTGCCAGTGAAGGCTTCTCTTTGCATGGAAGATAATGGTTCAGTGAGCTTATAATCAAACTCAATGAAAACGTATGAACCATTAACTTGTCCAAGCTTTCTAGCAAGAAATAACTATATCCCCTAAGTGGCACCTGCTAATGTAGATGGAGATTCCCAATGCACAATTGGGTGGATAGCAGGTGAAATTTGAGGAGATCTTGTAGGTGAGGTAGTGGGATCTGCATTATAAATACAAAGGAAGTTAAGTCTATTCCAAGTAGTCAAGAAGATAGGAATTTCACATACATATATCAAACTAGAAATTCAGAAACATAAAATGTACTTGGGCATACTCGGCAACAAAAATGGTGCTAATCTTGGCACGATTGGCTGGACCTCTGATGGGGCTTGTTCCAGTTCCCTTGGTGGAGATGCAACTGATACCATGTATCAGAAAATAGTAATAACAAAGTATGGGTCTAAAGATTGATAATTGAAAATCTAGAAACAGTTAGAAAATACCTGGAGCACTAAGAAAAGGCTTAGGAGAGGTATTATTTGACGAGTTACTTGGACTGGCATAGGGTGCTATACTTGGTATCTTTGGCTGGATGGCAGATGAATTCTTCAGTGAATTCATAGGTGCTTCAGATGGAACTGCAGCATGAGAACAAATATACCTAGATTAGAAAAAAAAAAAAAAATTTAAAGTTTACATGGCAGAGCATAAAGTGCACTTATATTGGATGCATTAACTGAGTACCAGGAGCAACTGCCTCCGTAGAGGGAGCCTTATTTGGTGCATTCCTTGGATCAGAATGAGCATGTGAAGCATTTGGTATACTTGGGTGGATGGCTGGTGTAGATAATGGCGAGTTCCATGAAGTTCTATCTGCAGTAAATTAGGATAAATGCAGCTCCATCAGAATCTAAATCAACTTTCTCGATTCAGTAAGAAAAAGATAAAACCCCAAATAATCAGGCATGGAGCACGAGGAACTGCATAGAAGACTCACTAACTGAAGCCTTTTCACGAGAAGCCGTTGGTGAGATAGATGGCGCATCTCCTTGAACACTAAAAGGTGGAGGAACTGTATGGACTGGTGAAGGTGCTACCTGAGTAGCTGGTGCTAAAGATGGTAAACGCCCTTCAGTGGTAATTATAGGAGGAGAAGCTAAGCTCAATTGTGGCGACTCTCCTGGAATACTTGGTGGAAAGAATGGTAAAAGCCCGTTCACCATCTCAGGCACAGGAGCAGAGTTAAGAGGTGGTGACGCAGGGGGTGCATGTAGACCTGACCCTGTAATGTCGGACCAGAGAATTCATCAGTCTTGAGTTCAACGAAACGATTTATAATGCCAGCTAATGGGATTTACCTTCAGATTCAGGTGCTGAGATAGGTACATTGCTGAGATGGACAGGACCAATTGTCCCTTCTGTAGGAGGAATAGCATGGAAATTTGCTGAAAATGGGGGTATGCCATACTCTGAAACCAAAGATTTTTGTTTTAATTTAATGAAATAATCAACATTTTACCATCATGAAGGAATTTTTTTAAGTAGGCTCCATATAATTGGTCATAATACAACCAATTTTTACATTTTTGATAGATAACAACAAGATGCTTACTTATCACTATGTTTGTTTCATTCCTGGTAATGGTTTGTTTTCACCACCACCACTGAATAAAAGACTTGATATATTATTAAAAAGATATAAGCTTTCAAGATCTGACTTTTGGAAAAGGGAAAAAAGGATCAAATGCATTTCAATCCTCAACTCTAAAAGAAAGTAATAAAGCTCGAAGACAGCGGAACCCAAGGAAGACAGAAATGTGTCAACCCCTCAGAAATGCTAATTCAAAAGGGAAGGGAAGAAAAAATCCGACTTGACAGAATGTGTCTTGACTGTGTAAATTCTGCATCTCAACCAGAATTCACAAGGCAACCAAAAAATACCACATGCGGATACATGATGAAACATGTTTCCTCATATGAAGCCTAAATCCAAAATTATTCCACAGACAAAGCCGGAGCTATGACAAATTTGGAAAACTATTAATATTTCTGATTTAAGCTGGATAATAAGAAACCTGATTAGTACAAAATTAGCAACTGAAACATTAAGATTGAAGTTTAATCCACAAGCATCAAGATCAAGTTTAAGTGTTTATTTAAGGCAGTTCCCAAAGCCTCAATAGATCGGAGAAGATGCGATTGTGGAGAAACCTGATCTCAACTCTATCCATACATCTCCTCATACATGCATACATGTAGCAGTTAGAAAATTTGACAACCAAACGGAGCATTCGTCTTCAGCTTCTTCACGTGACATCCCAGAAAAGGGCGTACACTAAAGAAAAAGACGCTAAACAACCCAGAATGGCAAACGTTTGATTAAACGTAAAACCCATTAATCTTTTAGCTAGAAAAGTTGGGTCCAGTCCAATTTAAGTAAATAATTTATTGGAACCATACCTGAAAATCCTGCAACAGATATAGTGAAGGTAATGATGCAGAGTTTCAGGAGTTGGAGAATGAATGCCACCGCCATAAAACACCAAATCTGAAAGTCTTACTAAACCAACCTCTCCGGAACGGTAATGAAGAGCTTAAGTTAAAATAATTAAGGAATGAATAAATTAGTAAACTAAAGTGAGAGAGAGGCAGGTAACTTGAAGCAAGAACAAAGAGGTTAGATTAACATAGACCCACAAACAAACAGTACAAAAGAAGCAATGAATAGGCGAGAAATTGGTTTGGGGAAAAGAACCCAGGCAATCGCTTTCGAAAATTTGCAGAGGTTTTAGGATTCCTAGAGTCCATTAAAGACGTTTCTTCAAATAACTTACAAGTTCAAGAGAAAAAAACAGAAAAAAAGAGAGAGAGAGAGAGAGTAGCAAATCAGCCCAGAGATTCTTTGTTAATAATAATTTTCAAATGGGTTAAATGGGAATTGAAGCGAAAGCAAAAAATTTTCTTTTACTGGGGGGTTGATTAGTTTAATGGGTTTGCTTGACTTTGGTCTCAGATTTTCAGTTGATCCTGTTGGGCAGTAACAGATAGTGATGAGAGTGAAAGGTGGTGTTGGGATGTGGCAAATCACCATTTTCCTTTTCTTTTATTCTTTCTACACTGGATACTTCAAACTACGTCGTTTTCATTCTTAATTTATTAAGTTTCTGTTTAATTTTTCTTCATTAAAACAAAAAACAATACAGATTTATTTTTAATTAAGTTTTGTGTTTACTAATCCAATTAAAAAACCCAATAAAACCGTAACGTTGAACTTACGTTACAAGTTCTAACTATCAATTTTGATCTTTTTCCACGTTTGGTCACTGTGTAAATGTAGTTTCTGCATTTATGTTGTATATAAATACACCTATCCTTTATACATTTCGTCTGAAAGACTACAAACAAAACCAGCAAAACAAGAAGAAATGAACAAAATATAAAACAAAAGGATTCGATATCAAAATATATATATAAATATACATAAACAAAAGGATGCCGAAACTTGGACGTTGCAAGTTGACAAATTATCATAATTTAATTACTTATTTACTTATAGTACCTTGAGAAATACTAAATGGCTAAAAAATAGAAAGCCCTTTACATTACAAAAAATATATATATTTTTTGCATCACATGCTCTTTATTTTAATCAAAATAAATAAATAGAAAAATAAATGTTGATGGAGATTGAACACGCAAACACAAGAAACATTTTTTATTCAAAAGAATCTTCTCCCTTGTTCTTTCTACACCCCTATACTTCTACTTTAGCTTCACATGACAAATTTACTGGTGGATTTCAAGAATACCATCAACCAATGAAAAATAGAAAATTACAGTACAAAATCCAAAGGGTCTCGCCAGAGGATATGATTTCCTAAAATTTGCAAAGAAAAAAGAAAACCCGGGTTTAATTAACTAAGGGTCCTGACAATTAGAGGCAAAAACAGGTCTATCAACCATCTGATCTCACCAAAGGATCATAATCTGGAAACCAAGTACAGACAAGCCAACTCCTAGTTAGGGTCTATGGTGGACCTGTCGGAATTAAAGGGTAGGTTGGCATAATATGTTTTGTCTCCATATATGTGTTTATTATCAGCAATTTGGATCTATATATTTGAAATACCAACAAGAAAATTTTGTCTACCAAATATATAGAGCCTAAGATGGGCCACGAACGCTGGCCCATATAGTTTTCTTGTAACCCCCTCCTTTAAACTTCCGTTTCTTTCTAACTTTTTACTCAGAAAGCTTCTTCAATAATCCCCATCTAACTATTTAGGTGCAGATAAACGTCATAACCCATAAAAGGTTTCATGTACTGTTACAAACCATGTGCAATTAGAAGAACAATTATTTTGTTGGTGATGGCTTTGTGTAAGGCTGAAAAGAGCTCGACAAAAGTGCTTGGGATGAATATTCCCCACGGTAGCCTTGCACATCTCCAACAAAACCTAACTCTAAAGGAACCGTGAGGGCTCATAGATTTTTATTTCTGGACCCAAAGCTCACCCTTTAGGCCCCATTGAATTTGCTGGGATATTGGCAATGCAGAGGCTTCGTATTTGCTTAACCGGGACCACTGAAAATCAACACAAATGCTGATAATATTTTAGTTTTAAATCATTCCGACAAACAAATCAAGTACCAAGCTATTATACAGTACTAATAAAATAACAAAATCATTTTCCATCTTCTAACGATAGATAAGGAATAATAAATACTCTCTGCTGCAAAGTGTGAACAATTATGACTCAGCTCTACAAAAACAACCAACTGAATGATACATTCTGCATGTTAGGCAAGGCAATTGCCGGTCCTAATTCTTTAGACAAATACAATCAGTGAAACATACTGGTTAAAGAAAGGTTCCTCAAGTAAGAAGGTAAACTTGGAATAGGACCCTATGAGCAGTGCACATGCTCCTGATTTTTAACTGATTATGTACGAGAATATGCAACTTTTACCAGGGCTCTTGGCGTCCACCTAAGCAGTGATATAAGTTAAAACTGTGAATACCGGTTGTTTTAAGGTTAGGATCCTTGCTGATCAATTAGGTCATAACAATGATGTACATGGTGTAACAAACAGATAATCATAACCTGTTTATCAAAGCTTCTGCTCCCAACATTCATTTATTGGGATCAAAGACTTCAAACCGCTTCTTAAAATCTTCAGCCATCTTCGTTTCATCCTCTTTGCCAACTGTACAATTCCTCCAATCAGCTCTGTCTGCTATGTTCAGCAAACCAGCCAGAACCTGCAAAAGAGTTCATCCATAACTGCTAATCAAGACCTCAAAAGGCAATGAGAACTTGTTCAGTTCAATTCCCATTATATTTCTGGGTAATTTGTACTTCAGATTAATCTTGACACCTAAAAGTAGAAAAACAAATTTTATTTTTAAGCTCAATTTATTATTTCTAAAAGAGACTAGCAGGAAAAAGTCTACACTGTACTGATTTGAATAATTTTTACACAAAAAAAAAATAATGTAAAGCGACATTATATAGCCGAGTAAGAGAAATATACAGTTTCTAATTAATGAGATTCTGCTATTCTAATTTAATCATTTTAAATATAAAAGATTTATAAGATACTACAGAATATTTCTACATCCTAAAATTACAATCAATTATTTTAAATGTGAAATAAATAATTAATTATGAAATTACAGCAGATCATCTTAAATATAGAATAAATAATTAATTGACTTTTCTTCACTCCCTCCCAAGCTTGGTTGTAGACGTTGTGGAGTCCAATCTTGTCAACTAATCTTCCAAAATCGTATCTCCAGAGACTCTTAGTGAAAATATCAGCTGTTTGACTCAAAATTAGAACATAAATGATAGACATCATTCCATCTTCTATCTTCTCTTTAATGAAATATTGGTCTATTCCAACGTGTTTGGTTCTATCATAATAAATTAGGTTGTAAATGATACTGATAGCAGCTTTATTACACATCATATCTTTAGTGGTTCACTTGCTTGTTGTTTTAATTCTCCCAGTAAAATTTCTCAGCCCATATCATCTCACAAGCACCATAAGCCAAGGATCTCAACTCAGCTTCTGCACTGCTTGTTGCAACTACAGTTTGTTTTTTACTTCTTCAAGTGGCTAAGTTTTCCCAGACAAATGAACAACACCCTAAAGTTGATTTCCTATCTGTGATCAATCCTACCCAATCTGCATCGATAAATGTTTCAATACCCCAATTTGAGATTTTCTTGAAGAATAAAATTTCCCTGGAGATTTTTTTAAATATCTTAAAACTCGTATAAACTACAACCATGTGTCCTCTGTGGGGTGTATACGTAAACTGCTTGCTATAACTTACAACAAAACTAATGTTAGGTCTAGTATGTGAAAGGTAGATTAGTTTGTCAACTAATCTTTGAAACCTTCATTTGTCAACTAGTTTGCTTGTTTTTAAACTGCCCAATTTCATATTAGGATCGATAGGAGTGTCTGCAGGTTTGCAACCCAAGATACCAGTTTCTTTTAATAAATCAAAGACATACTTTCTTTGAGACACTGAAATTCCCTCTCAACTTCGAACTATCTCCATACCAAGAAAGTATTGAAGTTTACCCAAATCTTTCATTTTAAATTCTAAAGTAAGACATTTTTTGACTCAATTAATTTCTTCAATATCATCTCTTGTTATAATAATATCGTCAACGTAAACTATTAAGATAGTCACTTTACCCTCTTAAATTAATTTCTTCAATATCATCTCTTGTTATAATAATATCGTCAACGTAAACTATTAAGATAGTCACTTTACCCTCTTTGTGCTTGAAGAATAGTATGTGATCTACCTGCATATAACCTTATCCTTTTATTGCTTTCATGAATCTGTCAAACCAAGCACGTGGAAACTGCTTAAAGCCATACAAACTTTTCCGCAATTTGACTACCTTACCATGACTGCATTATTAAATTCCGGTAATAGATCCATAAAGACATCCTCCTCAAGTTCTTCGTTTAAAAAGACATTCTTTACATCTAGTTGTTGTAAGGGTCAATCTAAGTTAGCAGCAAGAGATAAAAGTACACGTACCGTATTGATTTTTGCAACATGAGCAAATGAGACATCTAATTTGTCTTTGAGAACATAAACCCAAAATACTCGGGTATGATTATCAATAAATGTGAACCACATTTGAGAGAAAAGTGTAGGAACACGCGAATAACCCTAAATATCACTATGTATGAGGGCAAAAAGTGTAGATAGATGATAATTTTGAGTGGGTAAGAATGTGCGAGTGTGTTCTGCTAGTTGACATATATCATATTGAAACATTAGACTTTTATTTGAAAATAAATGTTTGATATAGGTAAAACTTGGATAACCTAATCGAAAATGTAATAACATTATTTGTTTTTCAACAGAAATGATAGATAGATACATAGAAGAGCCAA